GTAGAAAATAAAAACATTAATTGCTTCTCATTATATTTAAAAGATAATTTTTTAAAGGCCCCTTTAATTAGATTTCACTCCGCAATAGTACTCACATTTAGTCGTTTAATTAGATTTTACTCCACATTCATTGTTCATGAGGTGTAGTCTCTCCATCATCGTGCACACAACCCAAGTTTATTTCTTTATCTCCATTTTTTTTTTGGGCGATACTTACATATTGTAATTTCCCATAACGCATGAAAATGAATTCAATTCAACTTACAGTATTTTTTTTTTTAGGCTGATCTTCGATCAATACATGTTTATCTTCAAGTAGTAAAAAAAGAGGTGGGGATAAACATATAAGGAACAAGTGTATACTAGTATTCCAGCCAGCTGGGTGAAGTTACTGCAGCAGATATAGTAATTTTATCTTTTTAACACTCACAGAGGTGTTTTATACATGAGCAGAGATTTGAGCATCAAATCTTTATATAACTCTAGATGTAATTTGATTTTTCTTTTAATGAAATTTGGATAATATATTCTACAATTTTTCCCTTTTTTTTTTTTTTTTTACACTTCCATTTTCTTATGGGGAAGCAGATATTTGAAAGAACTCACAACTTCTGCCTTTACGACACGATCCGTGGTTATAGTTTTTCTTCTTCTACAGTTCATCGATTTGAAGGTGAATCAGATGAACGACTGAATATGTAGTTTATTTACCTCTTCGCATTGTCGTATGATGTTGGCTGAATTATTAGAGAAAATTGGATTTTCAAGTTTGGAGTTATAACGTGAATAAGAAGTACAAAGTATAAATTTTATAGCATCACCTCCGTAGAGCCAGCATAAAGGGAGGTACTGATTTCTTCGTTGTCATCGGTCTCCTGCGGCATGTGTTTGTTTCGGCTTTCAAGCTTAAATTCACGAGCCAATTTTTTCAGCCTGAAAAGCAGTCAGAGTCTGAGGTCTAAATCAAGCTTGAGCGATTCTTGTGGTGCCTCAACTTGCTGTGGTGGATCCAAATTATGAAAGCTTCCTGGCCACACCAGTTCTTTTGATCCTCACCCACGAAAGGTGAAGCCCATGCCATTGCAAGTTCTTGAAAGCTCGATGCCATTATTGTAGTTCCACCCCAGCTTGATGATGTCTTGTGTACCAGTGAATGGGGCTGCACACCAAGCGTTCGATGAAATGGTGAGTTGATGGAAGATCCCATCGTCATCATCAACTTCTGAGACTGGTATCTTCTTACTGCTCCTCTTTCCCTTTTGTGTGCGTTCTGATGACCCCCTAATGCTTGTGAACTAAAGAACTTCCTCATGCAGAAGTTGCAGGAGAAAACTTTTGCTGCTGCTGATTTTGATGTTTGAGGACCTGGGTCTCCTGCTGTAGATAGTGGAGTAGTTTTGCCTCCTAAGCTCAGGTTCAGCTTTAACCACTCTTCAGGATCTTCGTTTTCGCTTGCTTGCTCCTTAGTTGGTTTGAAAGTTCTTTGATCTTCCTCAATGATCATTTTGGTATCTCCCAAAATCCCAAATGATGAGTTTCAGGTTTGAAACGTGAAACTTCAAACGGAGTAGAATAGAAGGAAATGCTTATTGGAATCCCTTTTAAAGGATAGATAAAAGCAGGGAAAGATAAACGGATGGGGGTATCATACTGTAAAGGAAATAAAATCGGATGTGTTTTTGTTTTTTTAATTTTATCTCAAAATAATCATTGACCCCACCTAGTGATGCTTAGTGCTTCAGGGAACAATGCTTATATCAGCTTCAGTGCCGCCCTTGTCAATCTTAGGATTCTCTACTTTCGTCCTTCTCTTTCCTCTTTTATCCTCACAAAGTTCTTTTCCTTGTTGCCTATTTTGGGAAAACACAAGGTGGGCATTAGTAAAACATTTCCATATCCATTGTCAAAATCATATCACAACTTATTTGAACTGCCTGCCATGTGTGCTTCTCACACATCATGTAACAAATCTTTCTGCTCATCTTTTTTGTGAGTAGGGTGGATATGATAGGTGTTAAGATGGAGTCTCGATGTTTATCCACTCAGGCCGCTGTTACATGAATGAGATTTGTTTATTTCCCACCTTTTAAATTTCAATTATTCATGAGAGTAGCAATTGACCAGACTTAAATGTAGTTCCAGTTTTTAAGTTTAATATTATATGAACTTCGTCGAACTTTATGCTCGAATTCTTTAAAATCTGTTGAAGATATTATGATAGTATGATATCCACTGCTGTAAATTGGACTTTTAAAGAGAACATGCACCTTATAAAGTTTAGCAACGTGCACATGATTGCATAAAATGTGTCTCTTTAAAGAAATAATGCCCTGAACCCCAACGATTAGATCATTTGGCTGGGGTTGTTCTAGCTTAATTACAGGTCTTGAGTTCAAGACGTGAGAACAAAGCATCTTAAGGGCCGGGGACGCCAAACTTAACGGGTCCTATCATGCCTTAATGCGGATTAGTCTGAACCTGTTGTTGTGCCTGAAAGATGGCCTGACTCAGGATACCGGGTGTCAATTCAAAAAAAAAAAGAAGAGATAATACCCTGCCATTGAGCTAACATATTATCAATAATTTCATTCTTACATATAAACACACACACAATATAAACATGCGTATCTGAGTGAAAACACACACAAACACACACACATAGAGGGGTGGCAGGTCTAAAGTATGGTCAACATGGCGTTTCCTTTAAGTTCCATGTTCTCCATTGACAATGAACAATGGAACATATGGGGATGGGGAAGTGACATGCGGGAGCTATGGTGCGGTGGGTTGGACTTTTCATTGCTTTCTGATATGAAATGTTCGTGGGGGAGAGTGGGACCCTCATTATTGTCAATAATGGCGGTAAAAGTAGGAAATGAGTATGGACGGTCTTTTGCCATTTTTGAAGTAGTGTTAGGGTTGAAGGCAGCGGATATCTATATGGGTGCCTTCATGTTGGGGCTTTCTTTTCGGGGTTCCTTTTCAAGCTTTTGTAGCGAACAGTGGATATTTACTGTGGGATAAGAGCTTTGAGGACCAGCTTTTTTCAGCTATAAATTCAAGTAGGTTAATTTTTATCAGACCTGGAGTGTTAATGTTAAAATTCTTTTAATAAGTATACTTTTTGATATTAAAACTTATGTTATTTTCTTTACGGGTGTGAGGCCTATCTCAGTTCAGATTTTATTTTATTTTTTGAGTCTTTTAGAATAATTTTAAGTTTAAAATAATTCAATATAAATAACTTTGATTTGGAATTTAAATCATATTTTTTAAACAAAATAATATATTTTTGCTTAATCTTGTCCTAATTTATTTTTAATAGGCTATATTCAAATGAGTTGGTTATATATTCCAAATTTGGAATATGGAAGATACCTAGCAAAAATCTTTAGATCGACAGGTTCAGCCTTTTGGGGCATAATATATATCAGAGGTGGAAAGTATTTGATTGAGAAAGAGAGCATAATGAATAATGAATTATAGCTACAGCAGAAAAAAGGCATAGATATTTGTAGTTTGATTTATTCCTATCCAATTGCACTTTTTAAGTTAAATCATAAAATATTAGAATATCATCTGTAATCTCTTGAATAAATATTAACTTATTTGATTTGGAATACTTTCATTGTAGTTGAGCGGCATGTTATACTTGGGAATATGTTGTAGTTCCTCTGTAGCATCATGATGGTAGAGGTAGAACCCATATTAAAGGAGAGATTCGTTATATTATTATTTCAGTCATCTTGTTCCTGCAACATGACTAATCCTACCCAACTAGATATTTTAGACAGGAAATGATATGAAAAAGATTAAGTAGACTTTGGTTGAGTTCTTATTGGCGATTCTATTCCTAGTTATCAAAATAACAAAAGAATAATTACAGATAGGAAAAGCAGGGAGCATTCCTTTCCCAGTATTCCTACTCTAAAACCAAGGCAGTGCTGGTTTTGAACTTGTGACCAGAGCAGAAAGCAGAGGATGAGTCATTAGAGGGAGTAACGACATTCCAATAAATGGACAATCACATAAGATAATATACATATAGGAAGTTAGGTACAATGTTTTTATCGTTTGTCAATTCACAAAATAGGATGTAATAATTAATAAACCTGCAAAAAATATGTGAGCCTGCTTTGCGGTTTGCTTAACCAGCTTAGGGTATTTAGATTGACTTATTTTTATGAAAAAATAGTGTCTCAATAATTTTATCTCATAAAGCATAAAAAGTTTTAGGGAGAATTATAATGAGGCTCTAAGTGAAAAAAATAATTATCAAAAAGTCCAAATAACAAGTTTGAAGTTGTTATTTTTTACTTTTCAATTTGTTATTATAGGTAGTTTAATTATTATTGAGACTTTTTAGTTATTATTATTTTTAGGTACTTTATTGTAATCTTCCGAAGTGATTATATAGTACAAAAAAATTTCAAGTGCCATGGCCAAATAGCACAAATTTTAAAAGATTAGATTTCTTAAAAAATAAACTTCCCCATTAAAAAGAATTATGTATGAATTAATAAATTATTTAATTGTTGGCAAAAGAAATTATTCAATTACCTTATTTACACGTTTTTATATTCACCGTTAATTTTTAACAAAAAATTGACGAATAAATATATTTTAATTTAAACAATATCTTTACATGTCTTCTAATCTAGTAACAAAAATCATACTCCTTCAATCTTAAATATAAAAAGCTAATTAGAAAACTAATTTTGATTATCTTTTCCTTAAACTAATTCATCCGACTTATAAACTAATATATAATTTAATGTTACATTAAAGTATTTTTAAAAAAATTCATGTCACATTTATTAAATAAACAATTTATTTAACTTCTTTAATCTATTCAAATTAATTAAATAAATCTTACAATAAACATTATTATAAATTTTGTCGAAACAATAAACCAAACACAAGTTAGTTTGTGTTGTGCCATTGTTCAGGCTGCAGTTAAATCCTAAATTCTCCTCAGATGGAGCTCTGATAAAGTCATATTATTCCCGAATAGTGAAATGAAAGAGGAAGCAATTATAGCACGCAGCCAAGAGACCAGATACAAGAATTAAGCAAGAGCTGACATTCCTACACAAATCAGAAATAGGAAGTAGAACCTCCCTCAAACTAGAAATTGCATAAACAGAGAGTCTCAATCAGGAATCAGGACTCCTACACAAGTTTTTTTTTTTTAATTTTTTTGGGGTAACTAAGTGACCTCCCCACAGACCACAACCCGGTAAATCATCGCTTGATATTCTTGAACAAGCCATGTAGATCCAACAGCTCCCTCAGGTACCTGCAAATAAATTAAAAAAAGGGGAAAAAGTACAAAAACTGCATAAATATGGGAGCCTACATGGTACGCAGCATCATAATTTTAGAAAATCCCATTAAATTTAAATCCAGCACCAGGTCACTTGTCCCAATTGAATAGTACATAAAAATGTGAAAATTCTCAGAAATTACAGCGCTCCAGTCACACACGAGACTTATTGTTTAATATTAAGAAAAAAGTTATTTTAGTTGATTAAATTTAAGGGAATTGTTGGGCTAAAGATGGGGGATGTATTAATTGGCCATATTTACTCTAATAACTCCTTTATATTTAATAAACCAAAAGCACTTTTTCCTCTAATCTTAAACAAATGGGCCCTTATTTTATATTGAACCCATGAGGTCTATAAGCATAACAATAGCGAACAACTGGTATTTCCACTCAAGAGTATAATTAACCATTCTGAAGAATTAAAACAGTAGAAAGAAGCTTTGATAGTATAGCAACATTAAGTATACTACATAAGATTAAAACCATACTCCAAAGGAATGGACAGAATAAAACGTTTTACAACCATGCGCTTTTTGAAGCTTTCATTTTCTCCCTAGCAGGAAATTCATACAGGGAGCAACTACACCAACTGTTTGGCAAAAAAGCTCATGTCTTTCAAAGTGAAGGGTTTGGAGTGATGTCAAAAAAGTCGTTTTAAAGTGGTTAATGATAACATTCTAGGGGGGTTAGAACCAAAGTCACGAGTCAGGATCACCTGTGAGATGAATGAGTTAACCCATAGTAAGTAAAAATAGAAATCGTGAAAAGGCTAGTAATAAGGCCATTCTGAACATATGGACAGTATATACTACCTCTAGTCCTGAATATAAGAAACAAATAACTAACTTGCAATGTTAAAAAATATTAGTTGAAAGCATTTACTCTTCATAAGCATGTCACAGTGTAAAATTTCCCCCCAAAAAAGTGGTCCAATTTCAAACTTTTGCCAAATATTTAATGACACTCATAAAACCAATTACTATATAATGAAGGGCATGAGAAGAACTTTTTAATAAACAAGATAGAAATGGGCAGTTATCTCTTATATTTAGGACCAAGAGGCGGCTATCTAAATTCTCTTATATACTCTCCCCCTTGACTTTTTGTTTGTGTGCCCGGCCTTCATATTTCATATTGAAAGAAACCAACTAGTATCAAGATTTTTTAGTCATAGAATTTCCAGAATTGTGTAGAAAATAAGATAAAGCCAATAAATTTGTAATAGACTAAGAAAACATGAAAAGCTTGCAAAAGAAAACAGAAGATCAGGGCAAATTTAATTCATGCATGTTAGATTGTGTAACAACAAACAGCATGCAATAGATTATTGAAGGCTTGAAGCCTCATTAAAGCGAAACTCACCATAGGAGATGCTTAGATGTCTAGGAAAGAAACCAACTAGTATCAAGATTTTTTAGTCATAGAATTTCCAGAATTGTGTAGAAAATAAGATAAAGCCAATAAATTTGTAATAGACTAAGAAAACATGAAAAGCTTGCAAAAGAAAACAGAAGATCAGGGCAAATTTAATTCATGCATGTTAGATTGTGTAACAACAAACAGCATGCAATAGATTATTGAAGGCTTGAAGCCTCATTAAAGCGAAACTCACCATAGGAGATGCTTAGATGTCTAGGAAAATCTAACCAGTGCCTCACTTCATCTCTAAGCATCATGAATCACTCGCTTATATAAGATTCAAAGTGAAGATAAATAATATGAAATTGGTAACTTAGTATAGGAACAAAGAACCTACTATGCACTATGCAGCATTCTTCTCATGCCATTGGATGATCCATGTCCTTGCGCATCACCCATCTTTTCCATTCCTACCTATAAATTTGAATCTTAATACCTTCTTATCAACCAAGTGAGATAGACGGACACACATCTAAGGTCTAAACAATTTATCACTCAGAATGAGCAATTCAGCACTTACTAATCCTCAACATCAATAAGGCCTACGTCCTACAATTCTGGTTCTCTAGAGCAGTTGAGGGGTCACAAGAAAAAGGAAAAAATAAGAATTTCTTTCATGCGTCCTAAAAACAGCAAGACTCACAAAGAAACTACTAGCGATCTTGACAAGAACGGCGGAAGGTACCATGGGACAGCTCGCAACAAGCCCGTGCGCTGACAGCGAAGTGCGATGTGAGACAGGTACTAGTATTATGCAGTGGCAAAAGCGATTGAGCGCATCCCAGTTCGCCCAAGCTCCTAAGTCAATGGAAAAAATGATAAGCACAACATAATTACAGATATTTGCAAGTAATTTTATCATAAGAAATTGGGGAACGAGTTTATGTTTCCTCTTAGTTTCTTAGCCGAAGAGACTTGGCAGACGATGATTATCAGACAGAAGTTATGCACATACAAATTAAAACAGGTGAGTTTAGCAAGGTGGATTTCAACAAAAGACAAAACGACTGCTGAAACTCAGGTTAAAACTTCATTTTTGTTCGCCACATCACTTTTTAAGCCATCAATTGAATGGAATCCTAAGAAATTCCTAAACTTGGAACGCGGAAAGCAAAATACTTTTAACTGAATCGTCCATGATTAGGCGTTGCTTACGCACTACATTTCAAAACTGGACATGAAAATGGAAGCTAGTAAGGCACACGGGGTTATCAGATGAAAGATGGCACCTGGAAGTGGCAGACGAAAAGCGGCGGGGCCGAGGGAGAGGGGCGGTAAGTGGCGGTGGCCGAAGACGGGGAAGCGGAGACGGCGGCGAAGGGCGAAGAGAAGCCCTAGCTGCGCTCATCAATGAGCGAGACAGAGATCCAGAGCGCCAAGCCATTTCTGACTTCTGCTGAGTACTGAAATGAATCAATCTCGGAAGAGACGAGGGCAGAATAGCACCCAGAGGACAGGAGTGTGATTGAGGACTTTGCGAGGGTTTAATGGTGGTACAAAGCGATGTCGTTTTGCCTTCTTACTGAGTTCGGGTTCTTTCCTGGTCAACCATGCTCTATGCACAGCTCATTCTACAGTTTACACTCTTATCAAGTTATCATCTCCGGTTTGGGAAAGTACGGACAAATCGAGATAAATTTTTTTACATATTTATTTTATATATTATAAAAATATTTTTAAAACTATAGTTTTGATTCCATCTAAATACCTCCTAATACTACCTCTTATTTTTAATACAAATTTGCAGAAATTAAAAAATATAAATAATTGAATTAATTATAATATATGTTATATGACTTTTCTCAAGCACTTATATGTATAATTACATTATATATTAGTTTATAAATCAAGTAAAATAGTTTTAAAAAATAATAAATATAAATACTTTACGAAAAATCGCAAAAAGCATGTGTTTGGCTGTAGTGTCCAATACAAGAACCCCATCAATTACTTCTATAAATGCCCTTCAAATCGTATCTTACAATTTTACCCCTGGAAAAAAGTTTTCCCCCCTTCATCTGTGATTGCATGACTGGTTTTAATAATCTCAGCAGAAAAGTCATTTTGTTTGAAGAAAAAGACTCTTTTTAATAGGTGGGAAAAACTTCATAATGACTTATGAAGAGAATTATATTATTCATATTTGAATAATCATATTTTTGTAATAAGCATTTTAATAGATTAAAGTCCAAAGGGAAACAACATTGACATTTGATCAGGAAGAGGTTACCACCAACTCTTATAATATTGACAAGGGCCTCTGACTTTTATTTATAATAATGATAAGGCCCTCTGACTTTTATATATACGTAAAATAAAAGCTCTGCAAATTATCACGGTGAAGAAGCTTCCATTTCAGTTGAGGCATTTCAGCTGTCCATCGAACTTATAAAGGACGTCAGGCAAGAAGTTTGCAGAGACCAAGGAGGCTCTGTAGTGAATTCTTTTGAGAGTGGTGTGATGATTGGACCAGACAGCAGCCTCCTCAAGGTTCCCTTCTCTCCACCTTATGCTAATCGTAGTTCCTCCGCGAGCTTTCAACCCTTCCACTGATCCATTTGGCCATTTCTCCTGAGGAAGTGCCGGAAGTAGGAAAAGATCTTCTAATGTGCTCTGCACAAGCACTTCTGCAATTGCAGCTGTAAAACTGCAAAACAAGTATCCACAATCAATCGATTTGTCATTTGATTCTTTGACTAAAATATAACATGTTTGGCTTGGAATTAATGATGGCATATCATGAACAGAAGCACATTGTTGCTCTAATGGATCCTAACAAATCAATGGCACTTTCAAGTCTCATGAAGCCAATGATGATGAACCTGATTCGTTAAAAAGTAAGGACTGAATTCTGTTGCTAAGGAAAGGTTACCCAAAGTTGGCATCAATCTGAAATGGTGGGTGAGCAGCAAATAAGTTGCTATATAGTCCTCCTTCAAATTGTACCCCTTGATTAGGATCCACCAACTTGAACAAACGCTTGATCATCTTATATGCATTGTAACTGTTGCGTAGCCTAGCCCAGCAAGCAGTTTTCCATGTGATCGACCATCCTGGACCTTCTTCTCCTGTTTCAAATAACCAAATTTAGATCTAACAAAGCTTATTCCTTCAAAGTAAGCAACATCATAATGTAGCCAGTTAACTCGGCCACCTAGTACATCATAAGTCAAATCAACAGAAGTTCTACAAGGAAATTCCAGCGAGACAGAAATAGACAAGCAAGCTAATTATTCAACTTATGCTAACCTCGTTTATGCAGGCTTTTCTCAGCAGCTTCAAACAGAGCTGGACTTTTCTCAGAAGTAATGGTATGCCCAGGGAATAGACCAAACAAATGAGAAAGGTGACGGTGATGCACATCTGGATCCTTAAAGTCCTTCACCTGCATTACGCGGCAGATTCATCGTCTATCCTTCAAGTTTTGCATATAAAATTTTACCATAAAATTAAAGCAACGTGCATCCTCCAAATTTCAAGATTGTAACATACCCACTCCATTATGCAACCATCGCTAGCAATCTCAGTTGGACGTAGCCTTGGTTGAGCTTTTCGGACTTCTTCAACAATATGATCCTTGTCTCTCCCTAAAATCTGTTCTGGCAAGGCCGCTAAAGCATAAATACAAGATGAAATCAATCGTTTTGTATGCTTTAATTAACATTAAAGCAAGTTTACCTCAGCTGCAGAAAGAAATATGGAGAAAACTTCTTTTATGATTGCCATGTCCATTGTTGATGATCGGCTCACACAAGCAGGCTCACCATTGGGAGCAGTAAACATGTGTTCTGGGGATGTTGATGGATTTGTTTCTAGAAATCCTTCATTGCCTTCAATCAGCCAGCTCAATAAAAACGATACACACCCTTCCAACAAGGGATAAGCTTTATATCTGAGGAAATCCTGTTAGAAACAACAGATCAGCAAAATTTGCCTTTGAAATGCTTACTATCAGATGGTACAAACACGGTATCTCATGTCTGTTGGAAAATGTGCGTAAAGACTGTAAAGGCAAAGCATCAGATTTCTCAAATAGAATTCTTTTAAGCGTTTCAATCACTTAACTTTTATTATCATTTTTTTTATTGCTTTTGTTTTTTCGTTAATCTCGTCAGTTGATTAAAAATCTTATGCCTATCAAACTACACTCACCTCATCCAATGTGTAAGCATATTGCTCCCATAGATGTGTACAAAGCCATGCTCCTCCCATTGGCCACAAAGCCCACACGACATCACCGTCGCTTGCTGATGATTTTGCCCATATATCTGACTTGTGATGCACAACCCAACCATTTGCTTTGTAGTTTACCTACGGCATTTAATAACTGAATAAGAGAACATAGGCATAATTCATAAAGCAAAGCATAAAAATCATGCATGCACAAGAAGAATGGGGGCCGATCCGGTCTAAGGCTCTCCAGCATTGCCTTCAGTGTAACTTCTGCAGCAACCTTAGACATGAACCAACCCCTAGGCCCAAAAAAAAAAACTGCCCCCGCCATTAGATGCCCTGCTGTTGTTTTTTTTCCCCCCAGCTGATCACTACCTAGTATGCGGTGAGTTTTGAAATATGAATAACTGGAGAAGGATCGTTAATTAATAAAGTCTAAGATAAAAATGTAAAAGGCGAACGATTCTTACTCTTGCAGTTTCTCTGCCATTTAGGGATAGAGAGGAAATATAATCAAACAGGGGCTCTTGACACTCGCTAAGGTTGCAAGGCAGAGAAGGCCAATAATTCATTTCAAGATTAATGTTCAAATGCGGAGCTCCACTGGAGATAGATAATGTGTTCATTGTCAGTCTCGAATAAAATTGTTATGCAGGATTTAAATAAATATTGCATCACTATTCACTAAAAGAAAGAAGAACTGAAAAAGGAACCGTGGTTAATATTTACAGTGAATAGAGAATGAAAAGCACGCAACGTTGACAGAATATCAGTATTGACATTGATAATGTCCTGTTTTCCATCACATCCTAGGGTACCCTAGACTAGCCTTCCTTGTGATGACATAAAAGCATCTTAATGCAGATGAAAGTAAAAGTGAATCTAATCAGATATGAGTTTTCACAAATTTATACTCATTAGTGAAGGTGAGGTTTAATTTTCTGCAACCGCAGCCGCACAAACACATGCTCCTTGTCATTTAGAAAACAGATTGGTGCAGCATTCAAGTAAATAAGTGATAATGATACGCTTCCTGTCCTAAAGAAGAGAACACATACAATATAGAAGCATGGCATTGCTTCTAGGGTTATGTTTGATAATGTTCCTAGTCTCAGGGTGTGTTTGGATGAAACCAAACCGTGGTTGGAAAAGTGATTCTGGAGAATAGATTCTGGGGAGAATAGATTCTGTGAAAATAGATTTTGTAAAAAAGTGATTCTGAGAAGTGAGAGTGTTTGGATAGTTGTTATCAGAAGCACTTTTTATATATACAAATTACTAAAAAAAGACATAAGTTAATATGATAATTACAGAAAAAATAGATTTTATGATATATTTTAATTTGAAGGAATAAAATTGTTAATAATATGTTTTTTACCAACATAATTAATAATACATAAGATAATATAATTAATAAATAATTAATGTCTATATATATTTATAAAATATAAGATTAAATATGTTTATAAAAAATATGTTTATAAAAAAAAACAAGATACATATCATATAGGCCCTCACACTCTCTCTTTTTTCTCCAAAAGCAAAAAAATTTTGCTTTTTCCAAAACCATGGTTTTGGAGTCAAAACCATGGTTTTGACCCAAAACCATGGTTTTGGTTTTTGGAGAGGCTGTTTGGGCGAGAATGTGTAAAATTTTTTGGCTTGGGACAAGAATATGTAATACAAATCCTCCATTAAAAAGCATATCTATTTGAAAGAAATCAGGATGTGAACATACTCCCATGTTGGATGGAGATCTTTGTTCCATATTCCCTGGAGGTTAGCCACCTGACTTCCCGGGCGTGAACAAGAAATGAGCAAATAACGACCATATTGGAATAAAAGCTCCACCAACGATGGATCTTCGTCAGTCTGAAATGCTTTCACCCTCTCTGAAGTTGAAACTGCTACAGCACAGTCCTTGAGAGATAAATCAACTACAGACGGTGCAAGTCTTTTAATCTCCAAAGACCCACCTCTTGATACGTCCTGTGTGCTTTTTAAAAGATGCAGTGAGACTCGGTGAAAAAGTTCCTGATAATCAGTTACATGATTGGCATATAGATCAGCGTACGATAAACTGCTTATTGAATTTAATATACTCAAACACTCTGAAGTGGGCTCTCTTTTAGAATCTGAAGGCTGCGTAAATGGCCCGCTGAAGGAAGATGAAGCAACGAGAAGCAAAACAGTCCAATCTGCACCCTCAACCTTCAAGTTCTTGCCATCCAAGATATTGATCACACCGTTCCTGTCACTAATCTTTAAATCAAGAATTGCTGAGAATTTAATTCCAAGTTCGTTTTCCTTTGCAAAATGTTCTGGTGGGATCCTTTTGCTGGGACATCCTCCTTCCATTATAATCCGATTTTTTCCACTTATGTAAGTTTGATGAAACAATTTGCTATCCAGGGAAACTGTAAATGATAATTTTCCAGGTTTATTTCCAGAAATCTTGGTTACAATCACTTGACTTGGATAAGAGGCAAAATGTTCTCTCTCAAATTCTACATCACCCACAGAATACTTCACTTTAGCTGTTGCAGTGTCCAAATCTAGCTCTCTTAGATAACCCTCTTCTCCATATGTAAGATGCGAATAATCAAAGTCCAGCCTGATATCACCAAGAAGTTGGTAGACCTACACTCCACAAGAAAAGAATGTGACAGCTGTGAGGTCATAGTTTGCCTTGTGTCTTAGCAGAATAACACAAGAAAGGTCATGACTCCATGAACCAAAGATTGTGGCCTCAGAGACAGATTCTACTCTCATTCTTATATGCTGTTTGTATTGAAATTCTATACTTATTTGACAACGCATTGGATGGTTTATATCTATCAAACGTCACACTTCATTTCAAATGGGTGAAAATGGAGAGAATGATCATGGAATAATGAAAATGAAGGACACAAGTCACATTATCCTATACCAGACACAAGATGGAATACGGGGCAAGAAACTGAGAGGACTATTTAAATCTAAATTCCTCTGAAATCCATCGCTTCAAAACTGGCGAGGAAGTGAAAAATTGATCTTAAGATTATAGCATGCATAATTATCCTTCTAAAAGTATCATCCCAACAAAAAGATTGTTTTTGTCATATTTTTTTATAGTTTGTTTTTCCGTTACTAACTTCCCTTATTTTGATTCCCCTCGTTCTCTTTCTTTCCTCGCTCTTTTTCTTTGATTCCCAACTGCAATAATTCTGAACAATTTGACAGAATGAACCGCCAGTAAGCAAACCAGTCCCACCTATCCAATAGAACAAGGATTACCAGACAATTGCGCCTTATACCAGACAAAAGGAAGAAAATTAGCCATATTAAAAGATAATGCCTGTAGTAGAGACATACTTCAGCAGGGTTTCCAGTCAGCTTAGCCGCTGCCTCAGTAGCCTTTGAATATTCTTCTTGATCAACAAGTTTTCGCACCTCTGAAAGTGCTTCCGGAGCTCTGGAATCAGTGTAGACTCCCGGTGTCCCAGTCCAAAGCGTATCCTCTTCCCCAAAAAAAAAAAAAAACAAAAGAAAAATTTCAAAAACTGTGAATTGCCTGCAAATAGAATCAAAGAAAGGGAAATTGAAATTTGGGAAGGGAGAAATCGCATTCAGGTACCGTTGAGCTGGATAATTTCGGAAGCGACACCGCCCCAGACCATAGCTCCAAGACGTCCATTTCCTAAAGGAATCGCATCGGTCCAGTGCTTCGCTGGCTCCGTAAATGTAACCTTTAGAGGCCAAGCTTCTGCTGTTTTCATCATTCTCCGTCTTCTTCAGTGCTGAAGAATGAAAATTGATCACCTTCCGTTGCAACGAAAAAATAAAATATACCGTGGAGCTCAACAGAAATCAGACTTTGCTTGACGTCAGCGTCAGCCAATCAGTGGGGCCAACTGGTATAAGTGTACAACCGATGGGCTAGTACGGAAGCTAGATAATAAAATATAATAAATACTACCCCTATAAATACATATCTTTTCCTGCGGGGAAGAAATGACTTTGGATTGGTCCTTGAAACGGTTTCTCCACTTTCTTCATCTTCGACAATTCATTCTGGAATAGGCTTAACGTCTCTGCCTCTTTCTGAGCTTTTTTTCAGACTAAGAGCGGGTCTTTCTTCCTTTCATTCGGGGGAGACGCAGCTATCTTTAGATGTTGATCCTAAGGCGAACTCCTTCCATGCCTTGGACCTCGCTATCCAGCAAATTTCAGATGTACCTGTATTCCATCAACGCTTATTCCTTTCACAGCGGCGATGATGATCCCACTATTATCTCCTATCTGGGGGTTCGACCTTACTCCAATTTAACTCTCCACGTTCCCTTCTTTGGTGGCACTCAACCGCCGACCCTTCCCAAAGCTCGATTTGATTTCCTGAACTCCAAGCCTCCCCAAAATTACGTTGCTGGTCTTGGACGTGGTGCCGCCGGATTCACCACGCGTTCTGATATAGGGCCTGCTTATGGGCGCAAAGGGAAAGTAGCTTGCTGGGTATGTGCCGGAGGCTGGTGCAATCCTTCAAAAAACTTATGCTTCCATTCCCAATTCTGAGGAAATATGGTTAGCTGATTTCAAGCTTGAACTTGAAAACCATGAACGTGAGAGAGCTAGAATGCTGTTGGTCAAAGCCCGGGAAGAGAGGAGGTACAAAAAGAGTAGAAGTCTGCAATTGTTGAGGGGGAATTGGAAATATTGATGAGGAAAGGAGGCTGTTAGATGAAGGGCTAAAGCTTTTCCCTTCATTCTTGAAACTATGGCTGATGCTTGGTCAGCTTGAGGTACGACCTGCCCAGGCTACTAAACAGGCTGATAAGCATAAAGAACAACTTGAGCACCTGAAGGAAGCTAAGAAAGTTTATGAGTCTGGAATAAAGACCTGTCCCAACTGTATTCCTCTTTGGTTCTCTCCTGCCAAACTTGAAGAAGAGATGGATGGACTTAGCAAAATTCGAGCAGTTCTCGCCATGGCTCGAAAGAAGAATCCTTAGAACCCTGAGCTCTGGCTAGCTGCTGTTAGGGCAGAATTGAAGCATGGAAACAAGAAGGAAGCTGATATTTTGATGGCAAAAGCACTGCGGGAGTGTCCAAGCAGTGGCATTTTGCGGGCATAATACCCTCAAGAAGTGTGATCATGATCCACATCTCATTGCTGCTGCGGCGGCAAAGCTACTCTGGGATCACAGCAAGGTGTATAAAGCTAGGACTTGGCTGAACTGGGCAGTGACTCTAGCTCCTGATACTGGGGATTTTTGGGCATTGCACTATAAATTTGAACTTCAGCATGGAAATGAGGAGAACCATAAGCAATTATTGACAAGGGTGGTGCTGCAGAACCAAAACATGGCGAGAAATGGCAAGCGATCTCTA